GGGAGTCGTGTGGCGCCTGGATATTTGGCCGAGGTCGCCTTGCTAACGGCGTGCGGGGTCGGAATTGCGTCCTCGTCGCGCCTGCTGCGGAACCGGGGGGAGTTCGATAGCGCGCTGGGATGCTTGGGCGAAGGCTTTTCGCTGTCGCAGTCGGGGAGTTCGGCCTGGACCTGCTGTGCGCTCGCTCTGCTGCTGATAGGCGATCAGGCTGCCGCCGGAGTTCGGATCGCTGGAGGGCGCAAGCAGCCGCGCACCGCGCTGGACCAGCGGAGCCGCCGCGGACGCGATGGCAGGCCGCGCGTGCGAGGCGGCTACTCCTAGCCAAGTTCGAGAGCTGGCCGCTCGGGCTGGAAGGTAGCGCTGGTCGAGCAGGCCCCGAGGGTGGTGGCCGGCGGGTTTGTCGCCCAAGCACGACGCGGAGACGATCGACGCCCTGGTTCATCGAGGGTGCCCCCTGCGACGACTGCTGGCGGGCCCTTGGGGCGTTTCGGTGGCCTGGTAGTTTGCAGTGCCGACAAGACGCTGGCCGCCCACATCTTTGCAGGTCCTGCGCGTGCCGGTGGTGCTAGCGTTCGCCTGGGGCTGGCTCGACGTGGCCGTTGTCATCTTCCCTGCTCCACTTGCGTGCCCAAGCCCGGGCGCGGCGCACGGGCTGGGTTTCTCGGGCCAGGCCTTGCCGTTGCAGACGCTGGCGAAGGATGGGGTCTGCTTCGTGCGCGTGCGCGCGCCCAAAGCCCGCTGGGTGGCGGCTCGCTTGGAGCACGTGGGGTGCGGCGGGGTGGCCACGGTGCGCCCTCGCATGTCCAGGCTTTTCCCGGGCTCCTACCAGCACTCTGGGAAGTTCCTCGTCGCCCACCTGGGCGTCGTGACGACGCGCCCAGTGGCAGGGGTGCTGGCGCGGTCCCATGGGCATGGAGAGCTACATCCATGAGTCGAGACATGTGCAGAGCACCGCGTTTTGTGGTAATGCTTCCAGCGATACCGCAGCTCCTTCGGGCGGGATCACCATGTTTCGGTGATTCACGTGCGTGTCCAGTTGGGCCTTGCGCAGCCACCGCCGCAATAGGCAAAGTCTCTGCTTCCTGGAATGTCCACTTGCGACGCTACGGTTTCTCAGCGCTCGCTTGTCGAGTCGGCGTGTCAAGCGCCTACCTGGGTTTCCGCGAGAACATGTCCGTCGACGCTGTTCGAAAGTCCGGCGCGGAAGAAAATCGCACCACATGGATGGACGGCAGCGCGCGGCACATCGCCCGAGAAGTCCCCGGCTATTAGGATCAGGAGGCAACGCTAGGGGGGAATGGCTCAGGAGGGCTTGCACCGCCCAGTGATCGCCTATTGATCGCCGAGATGGGCCCGATAGGCCACCCCGCCGAAGACCTTGCGGATTTGCTGTCGGGTGCCCATTGCCAAGCTTTCGGCGATGTATTGCCGATTTCGTGTTAATGTTCCCCCCTTTTGCCAGTTCCCCCTCTCGTTGCCCTTCAGGTGTGCCGATCGTGCCGGGCCAGTTTTTGCCATGGTTCTTGCCCTTGTCTGGCAGTGCTTCCGGACCGTCTCGACGCAGAGTTGAGAATGATTCGACGCTGATTCGATGTTGCATCGGTTCGGCGATGCATCTCCGATTCAAGCTCGATGCTCCCCCTGAAGTGGCCCCGCATAGCGTTGTCCCACCCGTGAGGCTCGTGTAGCCGGCGCTCCGGCTTCAGGTGCTGCCCTTGGCGGCATCGGCCCCCCCCAGTAAATGTAATGTCGCTTGTTTCCCACTTCTGTGATATCTTCGGCCTAGACGTGCGAGTTCTGGCCTCGCAGTGGTGAGACGGCGAAGACCCTGAGATCCTGGCGTCTCAATGTTTTCGAGCCGGGCGTTTTCGCATTTTCTTTGGGCCCCAGGGCCCTCACATATCGATCCGGCTCGATAAACAACTCCCAAACAGGGGGTCTGGGGTCCTGTGCGTGATTTTGTACGATGTTGCAATTTTTTCCGCTCCGTCGGACCTTAGGCGATGCGTCGTCTCGAAAGCTTCTGCCGCCAGGCTAACATTGGCCATGGGGTCGGGCAATGCCTTGCTGGAGCCACACGCAGGCGAGGCGGCGGAGCTGGCCAGATCGGCGAGCTGGGTTGCGCTCCACCTCCCCGAGGGGGAACTGCTGCTGGCGGTGGGCGGCGGCCTGAAGGGGGCCTTCCTCGTGTGGTGGGTCCCTGCGACCTGGCATCCCTGCGTGGTGGTGGGCATGCCCCTGCCTGGCGCCCAGTGTCTTCCGGGCCCCTGGGGCCAGACGGCCTCAGCCAAGACGGCCACGGGTGCCGCCTCTCGTGGCATCGGCGCCCCCGCACGGGTCCTGCCGCCGCCGCCGCCGCCCCCCCGCGGGCTCCTCCCGCAGCGGGCTCGCAGCCAGCGTGCGTGCGCCTCTCTGGGGCCGCGCGGCTGGTGCTTCGGTCTGCGGCGGCCGCGCCTTTCGTCCTGCTGCTCGCACTCGTAGTTCTACCCTCGCTCCTGCTCTTGCCGAGCTTCCTCCCCCATCATTTCCTCACTTCAATCCTCATTGCCCCTCCTCCTCCTCCTCCTCCTCCTCCTCCTCCTCCTCCTCCTCCTCTTCCTCCTCTTCAGCCTCCTCTTCGCTTTTCCCCGCTCCTCTTCCTCTTGCTCCTGCTCCTCCCCCATCTTCCCCACTCGTCGTTGTCGTCGCCGTCCTCCTCCTCGGCCTCGTTTTCTTTTTTCTTCAACGATCCCCCTCCTCCCCCCTCCTGAGCATCCTTGCTCCTCCCATTGCATCCTTCTCTTCCTGTTGTTCCTCCGTGCTTCTCGCCACTACCTGCTCGTCCTCAATTTTTTCGTTCCGTTCTCCTCTTCACCGTTTTCTGGCAGGATTTAGAGAGAATTGATGTGGATTGTGAGGATGAGAGGGGTGCTGCTGCTGCTGATGCTGATGATGATGCTGCTGGTGATGATGATGCTGATGATGATAATGATGATGTTGCTGGAGATGATGTTGATGATTCTGATGACGATGATGACATTGATGACTAGGACGACGACGACTATGACAACGACGAAGACGAAGACAACGACGAGGACGACGACGATGGGGACGACGACGACCAAGACGATGATGATGATGATGGTGGTGGTGGTGGTGGTGGCGATGATGACGATGATGATGATGGTGATGCTGATGGCGATGCTGAGGATGCTAATGATGCGAATGATGATGCTGAGGCTGACAACGATGATGTTGTTGACTATGATGATGATGCTGCTGAAAATGGTGACGATGATGATGATATGGTGATGATGATGCTGATGCTGATGTATGGTTGACGATGGATGATGGTGGTGGTGGTCGTCGTGGTGGTAATGCTGCTGCTGATGCTGATGCTGATGCTGCTGCTGATGAAAGTGATGACGCTGATACTGGTTATGATGCTGATGATTATGATGATGATGATGATGATCATGATCATGATGATGATGATGATGATGATGATGATGATGATGATGATGATGATGATGATCATGATCATGATCATGATGATGATGATGCTGAGGTTGATTGTTTGAATACCGATGATATTGATCATGCTGCTGCTGATGATGATGATGATGATCATTCTGATGCTGCTGCTGATGATGGTGAGGAGGATGATGATGATGATGACGATGATGATGGTGGTGGTGGTGGTGATGATGGTGGCCATGACGATGATGATGATAATGCTGCTGCTGCTGCTGATGCTGATGGTTATGATGATGCTGCTGCTGATGATGGTTATGATGATGATGCTGCTGAAGATGATGACGATGATGATGTTGTTGATGACGATCATGATGATGATGATGATGATGATGATGATGGTGATGCTGCTGCTGATGATGATGATGAGGAAGAGGAGCAGGAGAAGGAGGATGAGGAGGGTGATATGGTGATGATGCTGCTTATGATGATGATGATGACGATGATGATGATGATGCTGATGATGATGATGCTGGTGATGATGATGATGATGATGATGATGATGATGATGATGATGATGATGATGATGATGATGATGATGATGATGATGCTGATGATGATGATGATGATGATGATGATGATGATGATGATGATGATGATGATGGTGATGATGATGATGATGCTGATGCTGATGATGATGATGCTGCTGCTGCTGATGATGACGATGATGATGAGGAGGAGGAGGAGGAGGAGGAGAAGGAGGAGGAGGAGGAGGAGGATACTAGCGGTGGTTGGGCTGGTGAGGTGTAGGGGGAGCAGGACAAGGGGAAAGGTGAAGGCCGCCACACGTGGCCTTTTTCGTCTTCGCTATTTGAGGAGCTCTCAAGGAACGTGTTTGGGCCATCTTCGGGCTGTCTTGGCCTCCTGCGAGGCTTGGGGGTTCCGTCGGGGCCCTCTCGGGCGGTCTTGCGGGCCTCTGACGCCGTCTTTGGGATTCTTTTGGGCCGTTTTAGGGTCCTCTTGGCTGCATGGTCGGTGTCTGGGGGCTGTCGTTGGGCCGTCTTGGCGCCGTCTTGGTACGACGTAGAACCTTTTAAGGCCGTCTTGGTCCCACGGAAGACCTCTTGGGCCGTCTTGGGGCCGTCTTGGGTGCCTCTCGGGCCATCGTGGGCTCCCTTTGATCCAGCCTCGGGCCCTCTTGGAGGCCTCTTGGGCTGTGTTGTGGCCTTCTTGGAGGCTTCTTGGGCCGTCTTGAGCTGACGGAAGCCCGAAACGGCAACATTGCGATCATCATTCCAAAGCCCAAGGGACAACACTGCTCTTGGCTTCTTCGGCTCTCTTTGAGGCATCTTGGGCCGTTTTGAAGCCATGTCTTGGGCCGCTTTGGGGCCATCTTGGGGCGTCTTGGAGACACTGTGGGCCATCTCGGTTGCCTCGGTTGTTTGCCTGGACCGCCTCGGAAGCTCGGGACGCCGGCAGTTTTTCACCGGGAGCGTGGCTTCGGGGGTGTGGATCTTCTGTTCTTGGCGAGGGAACGTGTCCCTGGGGGTGGGGGGGATGCACGGGGTGGTCCGCGGGCAGAGGCGGAGGGTCCCTGCTCAAGTCGCAGAAGCCTTACCAGGCAGCACTTAGCATTCTGCCGCGCTTCCGCGTGCTAGGGGTCGCGGTGGCGGATGAGCATCGTGTTCGTGGTTGGAAGCTGGAGGGCGTTGGAAGCGGGGCGTGGTGCTGTGCAGTCTGCGTCGGTGACGAAGAAAGTGCATCCACGGACACGTATACTTTCTTGGCGCCGGGCTCCTGAAGGCTCCAGGGTCCGCGGTAAACCTTCAAGGGTTTCGACACTGTCCAACAGGTGCATGGTGTCGAGCAGTCAGGCGTTGCTGGCCTCACGGTTGCCTCCCCGCATGTTTCTGCACGAGTGCACTGTCCTGGGTGATTTGCTACTGCTTGCTTGGACCCATGCCCTCGACAGTCTGAGGGCTTGCTCGTACCGAAGGCGCGCATTTGTCCAAACGCGAGTGTGCTTGAATGCGTCAGTGCCCTTGCTCATGGCCGTGCTTATTCTTGAGCTCGCAGCGTGTGGTCCCCGCATGTTGTGGTTCCCCCGTGCTCTTCTAAGCGCATGTGTCCGTGTCCGCGTCGTTTGCCACCGCCCGCGCCTGCCCGTGAGCGCATTCGCGTGGCTCCTCGTGCGCGGCCACGCCGGCCGTGCCGATGTGTGCGACCGCGCGCCGCTCTGCGAGCGTGCTCGCGCCCGTGCGCAAAAGTGGCGCTTCGCCCCTTCCCCTCGGCGAGGCCTGCAGGAAGGCCGTCAGGGCTCGAGCGGGCGGCACGCCGGGCCGTCGCCGCGCTCGGCCGCGGGGCTCCCCACGAGCGCCTGCTCCGTCGCGACCTTCTCCGCAATGTTCTCCAAAAAGAAGGACCCGGGGCCTGCTGGGGCACAGCTCTGTCCAAGGGCGCCCTCGAGGGCGCGGAGTTGTTCGCGCTTCGCGCTTCGCGCTTCGGCTCCGATTCCTCTTCATCCTGCTCTTGTCCCCTGGGAGGCGGCGCGAGAGCGCGAAGTTATTCGCACTTCGCGCTTCGCGCTGCGCGAAGCGCGAAGTTGGGAGCCCTTGTCTGTCTCCAACTAAGGGCTGTCTCATGGGCTGTCTCATGACCCCGTACGTTCCAGCCGACCAGCTCGCTTTTTCACCGCGCCGTGCGCGCCGTCGATCGAGCTCTTTTCCCTGCGTCGAGTCAGGGTTCGAGGTTGACTGTTCCAGGTTTGACGAGCACGCACGGGATTTGCGATGGAGCTGCACAATTGTGTAGTGTCAGTCTTGGTCATATGCTGGCGGCTAGCCAATCATAACGGAATATGCTGGTGATGATGGCTCGCCCCATGAACGTACCCACATGTTGGGAGAACGCAGATCGCGCCAGCTCATCCGCGCGAGCAGCAGGTAGAACAAGGGACAGGAGCGCATGTGCGGGAAAGGCCTCTGGGGAAGATTCGCTAGCATGGTTGCGTCGATTTCGGGCCCCCCAGGGCGGCTGCGCTCGGCAAGGGGCATGCGTGAGTGCACCCCATGGACTGGGGACTCAGGCATCCGAGGCCACAGCCGTTTCGTGCGTGACGTGCGCCCCTCTCGGCCCCATCTCCAGAGGCTCGTGCTTCGTGCTGGACACTCTTGATGACCCTGGGGCCCGAAGCGGACCTCTGAAAGCCGAACTCTTGCAAGCACCGTGAAAAAAACTTATTTTACTATATATATATATACATATCTATATATATACAACATATTCCGAGGCCCTGGAAGCCTGGAAGGCATATCACAGGGTGCGCGCTACAAAACGAGGGGCAGGTGGAAACCGAATGCTGGCCAGCGTGGACATCAAAGAGCGCGTTTCTTTTGGTAGCCCGCCGTTTGCTTGACTGGCGCCTGCTCGCTTGCGTCTGCGGACCAAGAAGGTGTTTCTAGCAGTATATGCTCGGCAATCTAGGTGTGTCAGTTTTGTGGTGCAAACTGCGTTGAACAATCTATGTGGTGCAATCTCATGCGGTGCAATCTACGTGGTGTAATCCATGATGCGAAATCGATGTCGTGCAATCTATGTGCAAATCTTCATGTGTAGATATATTGTGCAAGCTATGTGGCGCAACAGGTGTTGTCCAGCATCTGTGGTGTATTTGATGCGGTACAACATGTGCGGAACAAGATATGTGGTGCAATCCATATGATGCAATTGATTTATGGTCGCAGTGAGTTGTCCACTCCGTTGCTCGCGCAATCATCCCACCCACCCACCCGCAACATGGTTGCAAAACCCATGTTGCGGCGATTGCGATAAGTGCTTGGAGTTCAATGGTGCGTCTCAGCGGCCGCGCAAGCCCGCGCATGCTTGCGCGCGCAACGGCCAGATAGTTTGGCGCTGCCGACGTGGCCGCGGTGGCGCTGACCGCTGGGCACTTCCCAGCGGGACCTTCAGTGCGAGTCGGCGATTTGGGCAAGCGCGGTATCATGGCAACGCCGACAACTGTAGGCGCGATGCTGATGGTAGCGGTGCTGGTGACGATGATGACATCGACGACGGCAAGGCCAGAGACGGCGCACATGCTGATCATGCCGGCGACGCTGATGGCGCACTCGCGTCGGTGATCAAGGTTTTGAGGGAAGTTCGACATGTGCGCGCGGCCGACGCGCGAGAGTGGCCCGCATGGTTCTCTTTGATGCAAATCGCCCCCCCCCCTTCCCGCACGCGCGCAATGGCGTCCGAATGATTTCGACGTGCGGCGCGAGGGGCTCGCTTGGCCGAGTCTAATGAAAAGGTCGAACAGCCTAGGGTAATCGTCAGCCTTCGCAGGAGCGCGAGCGCAAACATTTTTGACAACTGGTGTTGTCAAACCATGTGTGTTTTATATGTTGTCGGGGCACTCGGGTTTGAACCCCCTACACAACCCAAGGTTTTGACGAATTTTGGCATGCGCGCGCGATGACGCGCGCTTGTGCACATCGTCCCGCCTTTTTTTGTTCAAGGGATTCTTGCGACAGCACGCGCGCAAGGGCGTTCGACATGCGCGCGCGAGAAGCCCACTTGGTAGCAAGTCGTGAACATGTTGCAGAACGATGGGTTACTGAGATGTCGCGGAAACCCGAACGAACGTCTTTGTTGTTGTTTTTGTTTTTGTTGTTTTTGTTTTTGTTTTTGTTTTTGTTGTTGTTGTTGTTGTTGTTGTGGTGGTGGTGGTGGTGGTGGTGGTGGTGGTGGTGGTGGTGGTTGTTGTTGTTGTTGTTGTTGTTGGTGTTGTTATTGTTTATTTTTGGTTGTTTTGTTTTCTTGGTTTTGTTTACACACAGTCTTGTTGCGAAACTTTTTTTTGCATGTTTCCGGGACGCTCGATTTTGACATCCCTACGAAAAGCTACGAATTTTGAGAGATTTCGGCATGCGCGTGCGACGACGCGCGCGTGTGCACTTCGGCAGATTTGTTTGATAAGCGAGTGTTTCCACAGGGTGAGAACGGGGGCGATACATCTGTATATGGTGTACATTTCGGATGGACAATGGGACAACGTCATATGTATATTGCAATGCGACAAATGGTACCGTCAATTCTAGGGAGGGGGTCGATCCTAATATTTCCCACCCGTCCTGTGGTGTTGGGTCCCCGGTTTGAAGAGACAGCGCCCCGCGTTCCTTCCTTCCTTCTGTCCTCCTCCTCCCTCTCCTCCTTCCTCCCCTCCCTGCCTCTGTTCTCCGCGTACCCATCCCATGTGGGCACACCCCTCACGCGTTTAGTTGACACATAGGGAGCTCCGCCGAAGCTCCCAGTGGCAGGGTTCGCATGGCACCGCCTCTTTCATGTCGGCACACCCCTCCGCGCTTCGCGGCCCCATAGGGAGCTCCGCCGAAGGCCCCGTTGGTAGTGTTCGCATTGCACCGCCGCCTTCATGTCGGCACACCCCTCACACGTCTCGTGGCCCCATAGGGAGTTCCGCCGAAGCTCCCAGTGGCAGGGTTCGCATGGCACCGCCTCCTCCATTTCGGCACACCCCCTCACACGTTTCGTGGCCCCCGAAGGCCCCAGCGGCAGGGCTCGCATGGCACCGCCGTGCCCATTTCGGCACACCCATCACACGTTTTGTGGCCCCATTGGGAGCCCCGCCGAAGGCCCCAGTGGCAAGGTTCGCCTGACACCGTGCGGCCTCCATTTCGGCACACCCCTCACACGTTTCGTGGCCCCATAGGGAGTTCCGCCGAATGCCCCCGTGGCAGGGTTCGCATGGCTTTCTCACGGCCTGTTTGTGAGTTGTTTTTGTCGTCGTCGTCGTCGTCGTCGTCGTCGTCGCTGTCTCCGATCGTGGCCGCCGCCGTCGTCGTCGGCCTGCCTGTCGCTCGCGCGGACCTCGCTTTCACACCGAGACATTTTCACCAGACGCGCGCAGCTGGGGACACGTCATACAATGTAGTGCACATGTAAGGACCCCCGCGTCGAGTAGGATCCCCACAATCTGCCTCGTGTTCGCTGGGGGGAGGGCACTTTGGGGTGTGAGGGAGGGGGAGGGTGGGGAGGTTCGAGGCTGATGATTTGGCCTTTTTCAGGGTCGGGGGGTGTTTCGATCCCCCCCGTGCAAGCGTGCACGGCAAAGGTTTTAGTAAATTTTCAATTGCGTCGTTTATTTGGATTTTGTTCAGTGGGAGTGTCGTTTGGTGGGCCACCGCTATCGCCATCCAGGCGTTCTTGCCAGCATCCTGTGTACACGAACGTGCATATGTTGTAATGGAAGCGGGTCGATACACTGCATGTCAACGACGTGTTAGAGTACTGGCTCGCTCGCCTGTCCATCGGTTGACCACCCCCGTACAGTGCCGCCAAGAGGAGAACCAGCCCGAATGGGACCCCAACTTTGAGCCCTTGATGAAGGCTTAGCTGGGCAAGATGAGGGGGTGAGCAAGTGAAGGGATGAGCAGTCGACTGCTTAGTTTTTATCCTGCTTACACCTTCTACCGGCAGGCAACGTGAGGAGACTGGGGGCAGCGTCACTCTGCAGTGACTTGTTGCGGTCGCGCTTTCGATGCATGGAATGGCCGCCCAGCACGGGCTTGCCGAATGCGCGCGTGGCACTATTTTCTGGTTCCCACGCTTGGAGTAGTGAGAACACTACATCACATACGGTCCAGGTGCTGGTCCCCTCTACCAGCTAATGGGTCGCCCCCCCCCCCCCCCCCCGATGCGTCCCCGTGTAGTTGTGATGTGTTGGGGCGTTGGGGTGGGGGCTCTGGTCAACGTAATTTGCCACCTGGGTGGATTCAGGAGGATACACGAGAAATGGGGGACGCCTTTTTTGCCCAACGCGTGCTGCCATGCCACCTAGAGAGACATGTCTGAGCCATGAGGTGTAGGGGCGATGCATCATGAGTCTAAGCGATGTTCAGTCATGTGATGTTTTTTGTGGACTCGTGCGCGCATCTCCTTGGCTCGCCTGATGTACAAGCCATTCATATGTGGGCTCAAATTGTCTTTAGAGGCGTGGCCAAAGCGTGCCATAATGGGTAACCTTTGCTTCTTGCGTGTCGCGACTCTGCAGTCTTCGTCTTAGCCTCGGGTGAACTTTCAACCGCGAAAGTTCCAGGAACGTTGTTGGATTCTACTTGCTCACTTTGTTCAAGTGTAAAACCTCATACCGAAAGCAGCGGCGCATGAACGGCTTACCGCATCTTCATTCTTTTTTTGGTTGTTGTTTCGATCGTCTCCGCCCCGTCTGTGCATGTCTCAGCGGTAGACGAAAGCGCCGTGGTTGCCAGCAACGATGCCCGAGTCAGGTCAAAGCCACGAGGGGGAGGAAGAGGAGGAGGAGGAGGAGGTTCAGGAAGAACACGCGCGAGTAAAGAGGGTATCGTGCAGGATGCCTCTTTCGAGCCGACGTCAACAGTGCGCGAGCATGCTGCAGTTGGTCTGGGGCGCCGCAAGAGCAGTGCAGCGAATTTACCTCCGCGTTAGATCCGAAAGGCGGAGGAAACCAGTAAAGAGGGGTGGAGAGGTCCTGCTGGGCAAGAAGGGAATCAAGACCAAGAGCGCCAGCGAGGTCGGCAAGAAGAAGGTAGATTACTTTCGCGGCAAGGAGTGCGTCGAGCCCCTCCGCCGTCACGGGGCAAGGGGTATGATTGAGGCAGGAACAACGGGGGAGGACGAGGAGGAGGGGGGGCAAGGGAAAAGGTGAGCACGCAGGACGGACACTGCCAGAGTCAGGCTTCCGCTGGGGGCCGGGGGGTGCCGCAGGTGGCGCTTGCAACGCCTCTGGGGTTCCACCTCGAGGCCGCCGTCGCTGACGGCAGCGGAGGGCCGGCGGCCTTCCCTCCCTCTCTCCCTCGGAGGGGGAGCGCGGGCGGTGCTGAAGAGGACTTCAAGAAGTTCCTGCTGGAGAACGAGACCCTCCTCAAGAAAAAGTGCATGGCCGCCCTCAACTCGGCGCTGGAGGGGAAGCACCCGCTGACCGACAAAGACGTCGAGAAGTTGGGGCACGAGCTGATCGCCAGGAGCCTCGTCTCGAAGAAAAGCAAACTGCATAAACATAAACCTTTGAAGGTCCGCGCAGATATCTTGGATCCGCGCTGGACCACCTGGTGGCGCCAACCCTTTTTTGTTTTCTGTTGTTGTCCTTCCTCTATCGTTGGCGGGGCAGCGGAGGGCGGGGACAGAAAGGCTCGCGCCCCACGTCGCGTTTTTGGGGGGCCATTTGCGAACCCTGCCCTTGACCCCCACGATTCCTGAGGGGGAGGGTGGGCATCACTTGATTCGGGAGCTCCCGAGCGAAGAGAACCCCACCCTCCCCCTCAGAACTCGTGGGGGGTAGGGGTAGGGTTCGCAAGTGGCCCCCCAGTTTTTTTCAAGCCGCGGCCCCCCGGATGCGTCGACCCACTCCCCAGGGCCGGGTTGCTCGTTCTCTCTTGCTCCTCGACGGCCCGGGGGGGGCGCGGTGCGGCCCCGCGGGGGTCGCGAAGAGCAGCGGGCCGCCCGTCGCAGCTCTCCTCCCCCTCCTCGTCCTCCTCCTCCTCCTGCTCCTCCCCCTCCTCCTCCTCCTCCTCCTCCTCCTCCTCCTCCTCCTCCTGCTCCTCCTGCTCCTCCTCCTCCCTCCTTCCCCTCCTCCTCCTCCTCCTCCTCCTCCTCCTCCTCCTCCTCCTCCTCCTCCTCCTCCTCCTCCTCCTCCTCCTCCTCCTCCTCCTCCCCCTCCTCCCCCTCCTCCTCCTCCTTCTCCTCCTCCTCCTCCTCCTCCTCCTCCTCCTCCTCCTCCTCCTCCTCCCGACCCCCCTCTTCGGCGCGCGGCCGGGCGAGGCCAGAGTGCTCACGTGGGGGCGCCGCGCAGCACGCGAGGGCGCGCGGTCTCCCAGCCGGGAGGCGTGGGCGCTCGCCCCGCGCTCCTGACGAGAGGGCCCTCGAGGCCTTGGCGCGGTCGCGGTGCGGGGGAGGGGGGGCGCGCTGGGGCTCTGTTTTTTTTTTTTTTCCTGTCCGCCTCTCCTCCTCTCCTCCCCTCCCTCCCTCACCTCCTTTCCCTCTCCTCTTCCTCCCTCTCCTCCTGTCCTCGCCTCTCCCTCCCTCGCCGCTCTCCTCCCTCTCCCTCCTCCCTCCTCCTCTCCTTCTCCTCCTCCTCCTCCTCTCCTCTCCCTCCTCTCCTCTCCTCTCCTCTCCTCTCCTCTCCTCTCCTCTCCTCTCCTCTCCTCTCCTCTCCTCTCCTCTCCTCTCCTCTCCTCTCCTCTCCTCTCCTCTCCTCTCCTCTTCAGTACCGTCTTGGCTCAGGTCGTGTGCTCGCTGGTCCGCCGCCGCCGCTCCGATGCCGGGTACGACGAAGTGCGACCGCGCCGCGGCGCCGCTGGAGGCCTCGCGAGGGGCCCTGATGGCAGTTCACGCGGCAGCGGGCTTGGCCGCCGCAGGAGGTCAGCGCGCGTCGGCGCGCCTCCTGCGGGCGGCGGAGGGGCTCATCCGCACGGCGATCGCCGATCTCGGCATGCAGCCTGCCCCCCCCGCCTCGACGGACGACGTGGGTCCCCCGGTGGCGCCGGCCCGGCGCCGTCGCCCGCGCGGCCGCGGCGGCCCGAAAGAGGTGGAAGTGCAGGACGAGATGCAGGGAGTCGTGGAGGAGAAGGCCCCGGGTGGTGGGGCGGCTGAGGCGGTGGTGGGCGCGGGGGCCATCGTCGTCGCCGAGCCGATGGAGTCCGACGAGTGGGCGGACGAGCTGCCGCTGGTGCGGAGGCGCGGCCGCCCTGCGGGCGACGCGGGCTTGGGCAAGGGCGTGGACAAGAGCAAGGCCAAGGGCGGCGCAGGCAAGGACAAGACCAGGGGTGCGAGCTCCGAGGTGGTGGAGCTCCGTTGGCGCGCTGCTGGCCTGGCTGGGCGCCTGGGCCTGCCCACCGAGCGGATCCCGTCGCTCGGCCCGGTCGAGCTGCACGCCATGGTCGGCCATTTGGAGCAGATGCTGGCCCAGCGCGGCGAGACGGGGTAGCCGTTCATGTTCGTGGTGCCCGACGGCGTGTTGGCCGTCGTGGTCTGAGGGGTCGTCCTCATCGACCTCGCGGTCGGGGGGTCCTGGGCTCCTCAGGTGGAGTCCAGGCCCCCCGCGGGCGCGGCTGCGGCCGCGCGCTGGGCGGAGTGACCGTTCGCCCTCTGCCGCGCGCTCTCTCTCTCTCTCTCTCCTCTCCTCTCCTCTCCTCTCCTCTCCTCTCCTCTCCTCTCCTCTCCTCTCCTCTCCTCTCCTCTCCTCTCCTCTCTCCTCTCCTCTCCTCTCTCTCCTCCTCTCCTCTCCTCTCCTCTCCTCTCCTCTCCTCTCCTCCCCTCTCCTCTCCTCTCTCCCTCTCCTCTCCTCTCCTCTCCTCTCCTCTCCTCTCTCCCTCTCCTCTCCTCTCCTCTCCTCTCCTCTCCTCTCCCTCCCTCTCCTCTCTCCTCTCCTCTCCTCTCTCCTCTCCTCTCCTCTCCTCTCCTCTCCTCTCTCTCTCTCCTCTCCTCTCTCTCTCCTCTCCTCTCCTCTCCTCTCCTCTCCTCTCCTCTCCTCTCCTCTCCTCTCCTCTCCTCCTTCCTCCTCCTCCTCCTCCTCCTCCTCCTCCTCCTCCTCCTCCTCCTCCTCCTGCTCCCCTCCTCCTCCTCCTCCTCCCCATCTCCTGCTCCTCCTCCTCGTCCTCCTCCTCCTCCTCCTGCTCCCCTCCTCGGGTTTGGAGGCCGCCGGACTGCGCTCCGGGGAGAGGGCCCTCCGATTCTGGGCCAGGCCGGATGTGGGGCAGGGGCGCCCGCCCGGTCGCTTCTCCAACCACCTCCCCCGCTGCCCCGCCCGCTGCCCCTCGTCGCTCCACCCTCCTGCACATCCTCGTCGCGCTGGGAGGTGGAGCAGTCTTGTTTTTGTGACTACTGCCCGTATGCGTCAGCCAGCGTGGGCCCCAGCCAGCGTGCTCTAGCATACCACGTGATGCGGTGTACGTGGCGCGAGCTATCTGGTATAAGCTAGGTGGTGGAAGTTATGTGGTTCAGTCTACGTGATGCAAGCTATTCGGTGTACGCCATGCCGTGCATGCTATGTGGTGCAATCTATGTGGTGTGAGCTATGTGTTGTAAGGTACAAGGTGCAATCTATGTGGTAGGACCTGACGTGCTCATCTATGTTGTGTGAGCGATGTGGTGTAAGCTACGTGGTGCCACCTACGTGGTGCGATCTATGGAGTGTGAGCATGCGGTGCAATCTATGTGGTACAATCCATGTGGTGCGGTCTATGCGGTGTAAGCTATGTAATGCAACCTAAGTGTTGCAATACATGCGCTTGAATTTATCTGGTGCGAGCGGCAGTGGTGCAACCTATACAGTGCAATCTATGTGGTGTGAGCTATGTGGCGTAGGCTAGTTGGTGCTTCGCTAGGGACAGCCTGTGCACAACAATGCCAAACAATGCAAAGAAATGCAAAGCAGCGAGAAACAGTGCAAATCAATGCCGAGCAATGCCGATTAATGCCGAGCAATGCACGGAAACAAAGGCAACGCAATGCAAAGCAATGCAAATCAATGTGAAGCAATGTGAAACAATGAACTGTTGCATGTGCTGCACTGCGAAGTCGCGCAATGCAATGCAAACTGACCCAATGCAGTAAAACGCAATGCAACGCAATGCAGAGCACTGCAAACAATGCCAAACAATGCAACTCAGCGCAACTCGGCGCAACGCAACTCTTTAGCAATGGAGCGCAATGCAAAGCAACGCAAACTATGCAGATCGATGTAAATCATTGCAAATCAGTGCGCATCAATGCCAAGCAGTGCATATGAATGACCGCATAGCAATGCAAATCAATGAACACCAATGCAAAACAGTGCCATACAACGCGATTGCAAATCAGTGCGATTGCAATGCAATGGCGCAGAGCTCAGGGGAGCGCAAACCGATGCAACGCAACACAGAACACGACGCTCAGCAATGCCCAGCCATGCAACGCAACGCAATGCACAGCAATGCAAAGCACTGCAAAGCAATGCAAAGCGGGCGGCGAGGCGGCGGCGGGCGGCGACGAGGCGGCGACAGCGGCCACATGTCGGCCAGAGCGGCCCGCAGGCTCAGGCGACGGGCTGCGACAAGGCGGCGACGGCGGCCACATGGTGGCCTGAGCGGCCCGCAGGCCCAGGCGACGGGCGGCGACGGGCGGCGACGAGGTGGCGACGACGGCGACATGGTGGCCAGAGCGACCCTCAGGCCCAGTTCCTTAGAAAACAAATAAGAACCTCTGAGTGTAAGCAATGTTTCGGGAACCTGCTAGTTGCACTGCACATGGCTCTTGCTCGTCAGACTGCAAGCGCAACTGCGAAGAAAGGCTAATATCCACAATCGTTGGGGGTGGGGAGGCCTCAAAATCTCTCCCTCGTGCTTCGCTTCCTTTCTGCTCCTCGCCAGCCGCCCTCCCCCTCCCTCGCCACCTCGCTGGGATGGCCTGGTGGGGGGAGAGGGAGGGAGCGGTGGAAGTGAGGGGGGGGGGGGGGGCCCGAGGGGAACAGGGGGGTCGTGAGGGCGAGCAGCAAGCCTTGACTTCCACGTAGCACGGGGAGGCAGGCATTTTCGCACAATCGGGTCTGGCCGTCTGCGACCCCGAATCAATATGGGTAACTATGCCCACTGACGATGACGTGTCCTGGGAGTCCACGTCTCGAAGAAGACGCAACGCCGAAGGTCCTGGAGTCGACTTACGCCCACGCGCCTTCGGATAAGAGCCAGGATGCGCAGATTTCAGCACCTCGTTCTTTACACCCAGTTCCACCCAAGCAGCCCTCCGCGAGCGCCGAAATGCTGTCTCGAAACAGTGTGGTTGGGTCGCGGGGCGGTTGCTGGGGTGAGTCGCGGGTGGGTCGCGGGGCGGGTGGTGGGGTGAGTCGTGGGTGGGTCGCGCGGTGGATCGCGGGTGGGGCGACGGCGGTAAGACGAGAGCAGGACTTCGCATCTGGCGCACGAGCCCCGCCACTTCGACTCGACCTGAGCACACTCTCCCAACGAAACGTGGCTCTTTTCCCGCCGCGGGGAAAGCAGAGAAGCGGAATAGAGGATGAGGAGGAACACAGACAAGGCAAGTATTAGACACGCGGACCCGACTCACCACAGTCTGCTTTCCCCGCGGCGGGAAAAGAGCCACGTTTTGTTGGGAGAGTGTTCTCCTAAGCAGTGGCGGAAAATCGCCTGCGCACCGAGTCCGTGACATTTGTTTGTGCCCTGCAGTCCTGGCTGGATTTGTCCGCCGGTGGCGTTGCAGGCAGTTGACGGCGAGTGGCTTCTGGCTGGTGCTTCGCGTGTTCCCTGACCTTCCCCCCCCAAACCCCCCCCAAAAAACTCCGACTAGACCTGAGCGTATTGTTATCCGTTCGTCGGCGTCTTCGTGGCAGCCTCGGGATCGCTCGCGCGCCTGGCCTGCGCTGCCTTGGTCATGCCTGTCGTCGCTCGTGCCAACATCGTCGGCTCTCGCCCAGGAATTTCTGCTACAAGGCCGTCTACAAACCGCTGAACCCCACGACGGCTGACAAGAAGAAGAAGTGGCCGGACCGGGTGGCTCGCGCTGCAAACCAGTCTTTCGACTGCGAGGAGTATCGAAGACACCTGCGGCGAATCACCGCCGCCCCCTGCCCATATGGAAGCGCCTATGTGGCCGACAGCTGGGCTAGAGCTTGGTCAAGCTATCGGGCCAGCTTTTCCCCGAGTCGGTTTGGAAAGCCTTCAGGGAACGCGTGGGGGAGCAAGCGTTTTGAAATCGTCCATGTGTCCGAGCGTTGTGGCAAGAGCTCTGCCAAGCTATCGGACCATGCGTTCCCCCAACCGTTGTGGAAACCCTTCGGGGAACATTTGGGAGAGGATGACAGTCAAGATCAGGATGAGGAGAAGGAGGAGGAGAAGGAGGAGGAGGAGGAGCAGAAAGAGGAGGAGAGGAGGAGGAGGAGGAGGAGGAGGACCAGTGTGAACCAAAGAGTCATCAATGATGTTGGAATCAACCCGTCCTCCAAGCTCCCTCTTCATAGGCCCCTATAAGGGTTCATTTCCATTGAGGGAACTGTCTTGCTGGAAGACAACCTTTTGAAGATCCTGGAGCATGCATGAACATTGTTCTCGGGATTCCAACGCGACGGATCAACCTGACTGTTGCGTGCTGACGATCCTGAATCGTGCCAGAACGCCATTCTTGAGACATCAACACCGCGAATCCACGCAACTGTTGGACCCGCATGATCCTGAATCCTTCCAAAACGCCATTTCTGGTACGTTGCTCATGGGTATCCGTGAACCTCTTGCACAGCTTACAAACGGATGTGCGCGGCGCTACGGCGAGAACCACATTTTGAAAAGGAACCGCCCTCAATCCGTGAAACCCCTGCACATTATCAGAACCAATGTGCGGGGCGCTAAGGCGAGAGCCACATTTTGTGAAAACGACTCACCCTCAAGCCGTGAAGCTCTTTTGCAAATTGTTATGACGAATGTGCGCGGCTCTAAGGCGAGAGCCACATTTTGAGAAAGAGCCACCCTCCATCTGTGAAATTGTTGCTTATTTTCTAAGCTTCAGAGTCATAAACGGCGAGGATGTCTCAGGCGAAACGCCCGACCCGTCCTAAAAACTTGCCCCAGGATGCGACAGGGAGAAGTTAAAGGAGAAGGAAAGGAGGAGGAGGAGGAGGAGGAGGAGTAGGAGGAGGAGGAGGGAGGAGGAAGGGCGGAGGAGGGAGGAGGACGGGATGGCGATGATGATGCTGCTGATGATGATGATGATGCTGATGCTGATGCTGATGATGATGAGGATGAGGATGAGGATGAGGATGAGGATGATGATGCTGATGATGATGATGACTGATGATGATGCTGATGATGCTGATGCTGATGCTGATGCTGATGATGATGATGATGTTGATGATGATGCTGATGATGATGATGACGACGATGATGATGATGATGCTGATGATGATGTTGCTGATGATGATGTCGATGATGATGACGATGATGATGCTGATGATGATGATGATGATGAGGAGGAGGAGGAGGAGTAGGAGGAGGAGGTGTAGGAAGAGGAGGAGGAGGAGGAGGAGGAGGAGGAGGAGGAGGAGGAGGACGTCTGGAGGCGGAGAAGGAGGAGGAGAAGGAGGAAGAGGAGGAGGAGGAGGAGGAGGAGGAGGAGGAGGGAGGAGGAGGAGGAGAGGAGGAGGATGGAGGCTCTGTTGGGCGTCTTGGAGGCCTCTTGGGCCGTCTGGGGGCCCTCTTGGGGCCATCTTGGGGGCCTCCTGGGCCGTTCTGGGCCCGTCCTGGATGCCTCTTGGGCGATCTTTCGGGGCTCTCTTGGGCTGTCTTGGGGCGTCTGAAGGCCGAAAAGGTGTAAATGACAACATCCGTCAAACACCCAATGACAACCAATGATTTTGGCATTTTCGGGCCTTCTGGAGGCCCTCTTGGGGGCCTCTTGGGCCGTCTTGGAGGCCTTTTGGGGGCCTCTTGGGCCGTCTTGGGCCATCTTAGAGCTATCTTGGGCCATCTTGGTCGGCTCCTGGCCCGTCTGACGCCGTCGGAAGCTGTCTTTTGGGCATCCGGGCCGATCGGGGGCCCTGTTGGGGTGCTCCAGGGCTGTCTTGGAAGCCATCTTGGGCGTCTTGGAGGCCTCTTGGGCCGTCTTGGGGCCCTCCTGGGGCGGTCTTGGGGGCCTCTGGGGCCGTTCTGGGGCCATCTTGGAGGCCTCTTGCGCTCTGGGGGCGCTCTTTCGGCTTTCTTGGGCCGTCGTGACCCGTCGGAAGGCTCGAAAGAGCAAAAGCCCAAACCCTTCAAAACCCTGAAGGAAACATTGATTTTGACCTCTTCGGGCTCTCGTGGAGGACCTCTTGGAGGCCTCTTGGGCCGTCTTGGAGGCCTCTTGGAGGCCTCTGGGGCTGTCTTGGGTCGTCGGAGAGGTTTCTTGTGCGAGCCTGGAGGCATCTTGGACTCTCCTGGGCCGTCTTGGAGGCCATCTTGGACCATCTTGGGCGAACCTGGAACCATCTTGGAGCCATCTGGAGCAGGAACAACTTTTGGAACCACCCTTTCCGGGCTATTCCGGGACCCCGGCGGGCGGGGCCGAAACTCCAGGGGGAGTTCTTTAGGAAAAAGAGCCCAAACCAAGAGCGAAATGATTGAGCGCGCCGGGCACCCCTGTGATGAATCAACAGGGGGCGGCGGATGACGGAAAGCGCGAGTAGCGTGCGATCCGTTAGTCGGAAGACATGAATCAGGAGGGGAAAAACACACAGACACAATTAATCGTCGACTCCCAGGAAAAGATGGGAAAATATGGGAAGTGGGGGGGAAGACAAAAACACAGAAAATATGAGAAAATATTGGGAATCTTTTTATTAGTGTGTATTTATTTGTGTGTCCTGGGGCCCCTTCGATGAAACTAGGGGGAGTTCGAGGGGGGTGGCGTCCCGCGCCCCAGGATCTAGTGGCAGTTTTCCTTGTGAACGGAGCCTCTAGCATGGCAGGGCGGGTGCTCGAGCTGGCTCGGGCAGCCGCCAACAGGGAGGTTGCACGGAATTCCCTGCTGCAATGGGTGCCCGAGCGGGACCAGGGCCTCACTCACATGGACTCCCATGCAGGTCCCCTGTTGCCAGGTGCCCGAGCGGGGTCAGGTGCCATTGCCATGGGATTCCCTGTGAACGGGTGCGTGAGCCCCGCGTGAGCTCGCGTAAGCGCGTAGGCTCCTCGTCGTCTTAAGGTACTTTGAAGACGGCCCATCAGAGGCCAAAGGGGCCCCCAAGACGATCCAAGAGACCTGCAAGACGTCCCAAGGGGCCTCACAAGAGGCTTCCCAAGAGGACCCACAGAGGCAACCTTCATGGATGAAGCGACCCCCCATGAGGCACCCAAGATTCTCCAAGACGGCCTCCCAAGTGGCCTCAACCTCAAAACTTCCTCCCGAAGGCCCCCGAGAGACCCAGCGGAAGAGGTAGTGAGGATCCTGGTACGTGTGCCCGCAATTTCCTGCACTTCGCCCTTCTGGGGGCACCCTTGGCCCGCTCTACACGCCTTACCCGCGCCTCGCCCCCCGAATGGCGCCCTTGGCCCCGCCCTCCCCGCCATTTCCTGCACTTCGCCCTCCCAGGGGAACCCTCGGCCCGCCCTACCCGCGTTTCCCGCACTTCGCGCCCTGAGGGGCGCCCTTGGCCCGCCCTCCCCGCCATTTCCCGCGCTTCGCCCTCCCAGGGGAACCCTTGGCCCGCGCTACCCGCCATTTCCCGCGCTTCGCCCTCCGAAGGGCGTCCTTGGGCCCACCCTACCCGCCATTTCCCGCACTTCGCCCTCCCTGGGGAACGCATTTCCCACCCTTCGCCCGCAGACGTCTTCCCACCATAAGACGAAAACAACATGAATGTGCCAACACCACGGTGCCTGGAGCGGGGAGGGGGGAGGTGGAGGAGGAGGAGGAGGAGAAGGAGGAGGAGGAGGAGGAGGAGGAGGAGGAGGAGGAGGAGGAGGAGGAGGAGGAGGAGGATGAGGAACAGCGAGAATAAGGAGGAATCGCGAGGAGCAAGGAGCCAAGCGGAGGAGGAGTAGAAAAGAAGTGGAAGAAGAGGGTGGAGGAGGGGGAGCGAGGAGGAGGAGGATCGAGCGAGGGAGAGGAGGAGGGGAGCGAGGGGTCTAATAGTCCAAATATAGGGTATTTTTTCGGCCCGCAACGGCCCCAGTCAGCCCCAAGAGAGCTTCAGAGGCCCCCAAGACGGCCCAAGACAACCCCAAGAGCGCCCAAGCTGGGCCTTTCTGGGAAAATCCGACGGAACATTTAGGGTTCTCGCCTCTTGAGAGGCCTGGCCCCTAAGAATTCGAAAGGACCCTATAGAACCACAAACCCTTTCCCTGGGAAGCTGGGGGTCCGGGCCCTTAGAGGCCCCAAAGAACCACGAACCCTTTGCCTCGCAGAGCCGCATGAGCCTTGGGGCACTACGTGCCGAAGGCACGGTGGCGGATTATGCGATCACCTACGAGGGCGGTAGTGGCCTGCAGCACTTCCTGCTGGCGCTGATCATTGCCGGTGTGCTCCTCGCGTGTATGTTCCCCGTGTGGCCGATGTGGGCAAAGGTGGGGGTATGGTATCTCAGCGTAATCTTTCTGACATTGTATTTTGGTCTCCTGATTTTGCGAATGATCATCTATACCATGTTCTGGATAGTCGGCTTCGATTTCTGGATCTTCCCCAATATCAACGACGAGTATTGCGGATTCTTGGACTCATTCCAGCCGTTATATTCGTGGGAGAAGAGGAAGGACGATCCTCTCATGCTGTTCGTTCGATTTGGCAGTTTAGCTATCACCGCGGTGGCCATCCAGCAGATAGCCGAGACACACTCTTTGGCGGATGTCCAGGACCTGATCACCACCTCCTACGCGGATCCGCGGGGGATCACGAAGCGCTCTCCCTCTACCGCACCACTCTGGCTTATTCGATGCTCCTTCTTTTCCTCCTCCTCCTTCTCCTCCTCATTCTCCTCCTCCTCCTCCTCCGCCTCCCTCTTCGCCTCCTCCTCCTCCTCCTCCTCCTCCTCCCTCTCCTCCTCTTCCTCCTCCTCCTCCTCCTCCTCCTCCTCCTCCTCCTTCTCCTCCTCCTCCTCCTCCTCCTCCCTCTTCCTCTTGTCCTCCCCATTTCCCTTCCGCCCCTCCCTCTCCCCCCCCCTCTGTTCGCCTCCCTGCGCTCCGTCCGTCCTCTTCCTCGCTTCCCTCCCTCCCTCGCTTCCCTCCCTCCCTCCCTCCCCTCTCTCTGCTTCTTCAACTCCACCTCAGCTTGTGAGATCCTGCATCCAGTTCGTAGTTCACCCTTCCCCTGCCTAGCTAGCCTGCCTCTCTCCTCTCTCTCTCTCGCTCTTTGTCTCTCTCTCTCTCTGTCTTTCGCGCGCTCTCTCTCTCTCTCTCTTTGTCGTCAATTTCCTTCGGGTCTGTGTGTCGCCAATGCTGCTTTCCACCACAAGACCCATTGGCCTCTCAGTAGCCCCTGTGGCCCCACTGGACGCGCGCCAGTTGCCGCTGCCAGCCCCAACGAGAATAGTCCCACGGGCCCCCGTCTAGCCCCACCAAGCAATGCTTGGGGTTCACGCTTGGCTATTATTTCTGTTCCCCTGTTCTTGTCCGTGGTTCAGTGTTGAGACACACGGAGGCCTCATTGGTAGATGCAGCTCCCAGGAGTGGTAAGATTCAGGGCAGGGGCGACGCACCGCACACTCCACTCGACGCAGCCGAGGCCTCGTCGAGGCGACGCGCAAGACACCAGACCAGGCAAGCATCTACCTTTTTTGGGGGGGCGATTGGGATGCTGGCGAGCTCTGTCCGACAACGCCCATGCGCTTCGCAGTGGCATGTTGAACGCTGCTGCCCGGAGTGTGCGCGATGACCCGGCGCACAGCGACTGGCCGTCGATGCCGCAGTGGCCGCGCTCCAGAGTCCTGCGAACCACTCCAGGCGAGCAGCGCGCACACGTCGCCCCTGGCGGCCCCGACTCGGCCCACTGCGCGAGGCCTCGCCATCGCGCCGAAGCTGCGGGGCGAGGAGGAGGAGGAGGAGGAGGAGGAGGAGGAGGAGGAGGAGGAGGAGGAGGAGGAGGAGGAGGAGGAGGAGGAGGAGGAGGAGGAGGGAGGAGGAGGAGGAGGAGGAGGAGGAGGAGGAGGAGGAGGAGGAGGAGGAGGAGGAGGAGGAGGAGGGAGGAGGAGGAGGAGGAGGAGGAGGAGGAGGAGGAGGAGAGGAGGAGGAGGAGAGGAGGAGGAGGAGGAGGAGGAGGAGGAGGAGGGGGAGGGGGAGGTGGAGGAGGAGGACGAGGGCCCACGGGGCGCGCGCTTCTCTCGCAGACTCGGGCGGCCTCTGCCGGCTTCGTGCCGCTGTGCCGGCGTGCTCTCCAGCGACCGTCCCGTGGATTCCGCTCCTCCCCGCACCCCCTGTGGCCTCTGTGCCTCTGGGCCGCGCCGTGCGGCCCCCTCTGGGCACCAGCCTGCCACGCTCACGCAGCGTGTGCTGCCTGCTCGTGCCGCCGGTCTCCTGCGGCTCAAGAGCAAGCGGGGCTCTGGATGCTGCGTGACAGGCTTCTGCCAGAGAGCGGCCTGGCAAGCGGCGCAAGCAGCACGGCGGCGCTGTTCCCGAGCCCCAGTTCTGCGTGTTGTCTGTTCTGTCAGCTTGCGTGCAGCGCAGGGCTTCGCATCGGCTGTGGCACGCCTATCGTCCTCGTGCTTCGGCGCCCCTTCCGGCTCAAGACGCATCGCTCGGCTCGAGCAGCCGGCATCGCAGCAATGGTGGGGCTTCGATGAAAGCCGCTGGTGCAGCATGGCTGGTGGCAGGCGTGCTCCCACCAAGGTTCGGCGGCGCGCCGAGGGGACCAGTGAGGAGGGGCAGGCCTTCCAGGAGGCTGGCGGGGCTTCTCAGACGCCCTCCGGCCCTCTGAGAGGCCCCCCCTTGCGGCCGGCCAGAGCTGACGTAGAAGGCTTCCCTCAGAAGGCCGGAGGCCTTCCGAGCCTTCCGAGAAGGCCCGCTCTTTTTGCCCTCCCGCGGCGAGGGACGTTCGTTCCATGCCCCTGTTGCTGCCCCCCACTCTCGGCGCCGGGCGCCGCAGGGTGTGGATAATGGAAGGACGCTCGCTGCCCCCCGCTCTCCTGGGCGCCAGTCAGGAGGGAACAAAACACATAGACACAATTAATCGTCGACTCCCCAGAAAATATTGGAAAATATGGGAAGTGGGGGGGAAGACAAAAACCCAGAACATATGGGAAGATATAGGGAATCTTTTTATTTGTGTGTCCTGGGGCCCCTTCAGCCTTCCGAGCCTTCCGAGAAGGCCCGCCCTTTTTGCCCTCCCTCGGCGAGGGACGTTCGTTCCATGCCCCCGTTGCTGCCCCCCACTCTCGGCGCCAGGCGCAGCAGGGTAGGGATAATGGAAGGACCCTCGCTGCCCCCCGCTTCTAGGCGCCAGGCGCAGCAGAATGTGGATGAAAGGACCGTGGCCTCGGAGAGGCCAGCCTTCCGTCCACATCCCCGCTCTGGCTCCTCGTGCGGGTCGGGTCGTTGGCAGGGGCAGGAATGAGATGGCGATCGCCTGCTCCCCCCCTGGGCCACGCTGCACTACGCCACTCCCGATCGGCCCGAAGGCCGTGCCAATCTAGAACTCGGCGGGAAAAACTTGGCCCGTGCCTCCCACACCCGGGCAAACGTGCGATCCTCTTGCGTGGATTGCTTCTCGGGCAGGCACGGGGCGGGGAGCGAGAGAGGGCGGGGGAAAGGGGGCAGCAGGGAAGGAGACCGCAACATCTCGTCCGGCAGGCCCCCCCCCCCTTCCCTGGGCGCGCCACCCCAAAAGGTGGCCGATTCACCCCCTCCCGCTCAGCTGGTGAAGCCGGCCGAGGGGCCGCAGGCCGAAGATGCGGACGAGGGCAGCGAGCAGAAGGTCGTCGGCCCGAACGTCACCGGCAAGCGCGAGGATCGGCGGCGACGGCGACGGGTGCCGCGGGCGCCCCCCTGGGGAGAACGAGGAGGAGGAGGAGGAGGAGGAGGAGGAGGAGGAGGAGGAGGAGGAGGAGGAGGAGGAGGAGGAGGGGGAGGAGGAGGGGAGGAGGAGGAGAAGGAGGAGAGGAGGAGGAGGAGGAGGAGAAGAGGAGGAGGAGGATGACTGGATGGGGCCCGACGGCGGCTGTCGACGGGCGGCGGCGCGGCGAGGTGCGAGCCCCGCCCTCGCCAAATCGGCGCTGCGGGCAGCCGGATTGGGCGGCGGGGTCGGGGCTCGGAGTTCGTCGGGCACGCGGTTTCGAGGTCCAGAGCCTACCCCGCCTCCTATCGCAGGGAAACGAACCTTGACATAAACATGAAAACTTGGAGGTCCGCGCAGATTTCTCGGATCGGCGCTGGAACCCCCTCCCGGGCGGCGGGGTTGGGACTCGGAGTCCGTCGAGCACGTGGTTCGAGGTCCAGAGCCTACCCCGCCTCCTGTCGTTTCACGGGCGAAGAACGGTGTCAAGTAAACTTTTTCGCCGTCGGGGGCGCCTGCCCCAGGGCGGCCGGAAAGTTTATACCCTTGCGGTGGCACCGTAGGGGTATAAACTTTCCAGCCGCCCAGGGGCAGGTGTCCCCGACGGCGAAAAGGTTTATTATATACCGTTTTTCGCTCGCTGAAACGTAGGGAAACGAACCGTGACATAAACATAAGAACTTGGAGGTCCGCGCAGATGTCTCGGATCGGCGCTGGAGCCCCCTCCCTGGCGCGCGGAGCGCGCCAGGGGCGGCGCCGGAGGCGCCGCCAAAGGGGTCCAGCGCCGATCCGAGACATCCGCGCGGACCTCCGAGTTTTTATGTTTATGCCATGTTTGGTTCCCCGATATCGATCCAGGAGAACCGATGGCTGGTGTGGGTAGGGTTCGGATGTTGCCGCCCAGAGGAGTACCAACTCACGCGCCACCTCATGAGCGCGCTGTTCGGCGGGGTCTACGAGGCGAAGGGGCTCTCCACAGGCCGGCGACGCGGAGGAAGCCTCGCCTCACTTCTTCCTCTTCTTTTTCCTCCTCTTCCTCCTCCTCGTCGTCGCCCTCCTCCTCCTCCTCCCCAGTAGAGGACTGGAAAGCAACGCTTAGCGCGTAGCTCGAGGTCGCTCCGAAACGGGGCACGTGAAAGGACACCTCGAAACCGCTATGGATCTAGCGATCTTTGCCAGAGGTCAGGTGTTTCTTCTGTCGTGCGTGATTCGCCGTAGGAGGAGAAACGCAGGGGGAAGCTTTCTGAGCAGGCTCGGTGTCGGCGGGCGGGAGGCATTGTGTTGCTCGCAGGGAAAGACTTTGCCATCAAGGTGCTGCACAAGAGCGAGGTGTCCAGGACGGAGGAGCTCAGGTCCATCGAGTTCTGCGAGGTCCCTCTGAGCGAGGTCCGGTTCGCAGAGCTCATGAGGGGCCACGAGCACGTCATGGAGCCCGAGGAGTACTTCGAAGACAACTTGTGCTTCTATGTGGTCTTCCAGCTGGCGCACGGCGGGGACCTTCTGGAGGCGCTGAAGAAGAAGCCCCATGGCTTCGACGAGGCCCACGCGCAATTTTTCATCAAGCAGGCCGCGAAGGGGCTGGCCTTCCTGCATGGGCGCCGAGTTGCAATGCAGGACGTATCGCTGGAGAACCTACTGCTGCACGTCGACGAGAGCACTGGGGGTTTCCGGGTCAAGATTTGCGACCCAGGCCAGGCGGTCGTCTTCGAGGTCTCCCCCAGCGGTGGGGCAGAGGTGCCCGTGGACTTCCGCGGCATGGTCGGCAAGTCTTTCCGGCCGCCCGAGTTGATGGAGCTGCGACCCTATCGCGCCACGCAGGTGGACTCTTGGTGCCTGGGCTGGAGCACGTTCTACCTGCTGGCGGCCGCGCGCCTCAGAAGCCGGATCCGTCGACCTCGGCTCGACCGGGCCGCGGCTCTCGTTTGTTCGCTTGATGGTTTCTGTGCTTGCTTTTGGTCCGGCTGCTCTTTGGGAAAAGGGGTTCGCCAAGGCTGTTGATACAACACGCTGACCCGCCCCTCGATGGGCATCAGGGTGGCCTCGGCGTGACCCCAACATACTAATACTGTGTGTGTGTGTGCGTCGCCCCCCCCAGGGGCGACGCGCCGCACCGAGAGAAGTCTTCTAGAAGATGCGGCGTGGCGGGTGCTTTCTGGCCACACCGCTCGGGACCAGGTTTACTATAAGATGGGTCTACTATACAGTCGGGGCGCTGAAGAAGGAACCCTTTTCGTTGGGGAGGGGCTCCGCGTTCCTGAAGTGTTTCACAGCTCGCCGCGGGCTTCCCTTATGTTTTTTCGATGGGGAAAGCGAAGGTCAACTTATGGACAAAAAGGGGCCTCGTTCCTGATGTAGGGCTCCTTAGGTCAGCGCCCCGACTGCTCTATAAGATGGGTCTGCTATGTGTTCGGGTCGGACGCGCACCTCCGAGGAGGACGTACAGTGTCGGTATGCCTCCGTGCGTCCCGCGGCCGGCCCCGGGCTCTCGATCCGCAGAGGGTGCGCTCCGCGCTCCCCGAGGGTACGGATCGGGCCCGCGAGCTCGGGAGCGGGGCCAGGCCAGGGGATCTGCCTGGATCGCAGGGTCCCCCTTTCCCCTCGGTCCACTCCTCCTCCTCCTCCTCCACCTCCTCCTTTTCCTCCTCCTCCTCCACCTCCTCCTCCTCCTCCTCCTCCTCCTCCTCCTCCTCCATTCGGGTCCTTCGAGCTGTCGGGCTGCCCCTCGGCGGTAAGTGCTGCAGGAGGCCCTGCCCTCTGCGGCAGTAGTTCGGGATGACACGCGGTCCCCTCGGACGCTCCGACCTCCTTCTCCCCCCTTCGTCTGGTCCACCGCCTCCTCTTCCTCCACCCCCCTCCCCGCCCCGAGGACCCAAGAACGTCCGCATTTTTCTTTTGGCTAGTTGGAGTGCCTTTTTGGGGGCTCCCGAACACATCCGAACACCTCCCAGTCCTCCCAAATGCTGCCGAAAGCCTTCGACAATCTAAGGCGCAGCCGCTCTTCCTGAGCGCCGACCCGAAGCAGCAGGAAAGAAGAGGAGTAAGAGAGGATGATGATGGTGACAATGATGATGACGATGACGATGACGATGGCGACGACTACGACGACGACGACCACGGCGACGACAACGACGAGGAGGACGACCACGACGACGACGATGTTGATGGTGATGATGATAATGATGATGAAGACGATGATGATGATGGCGGTGATGATCATAGTGATGATGAGGATCATGATGATGCTGCTGATGATGATGACGGTGATGCTGCTGCTGATGATTGTGCTGCTGCTGATGAAAAGGATGATGCGGATGATGATGCTGCTGATGATGACGACGATGCTGATGATGATTCTGATGATGATAAGCATGATGACGACGATGACGATGCCGATGACGATGAGGATGGTGATGATGATGCTACTGCTGATGATGAGTGTGATGATGATGATGATGATGATGATGATGATGATGCTGCTGCTGCTGATGATGATGATGATGATGATGATGATGATGATGATGATGATGATGATGATGATGATGATGATGATGATGATGATTGTGTGTTGAATCATGACGATGACGTCGTTGAGGATGATGCTGCTGATGATGAGGAGATCGCATACGATACATATGCTGTTGACGGTGAGGAAGGATGTTGCTGTTGCTGCTGTTGTTGAGGCTGCTGCTGCTGAGGATGATGATGCTGTAGACGTGGATGACGCATAACGTTAGTCAATGTGGACCCCAACCAGTGTGTGTCTAGCAACGCAGCTTGTGCAAACTATGTGGTGCAACCTGCGTCATGCAATACATATTCTGCAATCTAGATTGTGCACTCTATGTTTCGCCATACTTGTTGATCAGCCTGTGTGGAGCAATCTATGTTGTTCAACATGCGTGGCGCAAGTTATGTTGAGCGCAATATAGGTGGCGTAATCGACGTGGAACACCCTATGTGGTGCAATCTATGTACTGCGACCTATGTTTTGCAATCTCTGTGGTGCAATCTTTGCAGTGCAATTAATTTCTGTTCGCAGTGAGTTGTCCACTCTACTGCTCGCGCAAGCATCCCACCCACCCACCCGCAACTTGGTTTGCAAACCTCATGCGGCGGCGATTTCGATGAGTGCTTGGTGCTGGCTGGTGCATCTCTGCGGCCGCGCCAGCCCGCGCATGCGCGCGCGTAGCGGCCAGGTAGTTTGGCGCGACCGGCGGGGCCGGGGTGGTGCTGACCGCTCTGCACACCCCAGCGGGCACTTGAGTGCGAATCGGCAGCTTGGGCGGGTGCGGTATCATGGCAACGTCGACAATTGCAGACACGATGGCGATGATAGTGCCGATGTTGGTGGCGACAATTGTAGACACGATGATTATGCTAGTGGCGGTGACGGCGCCGATGCCGATCACGCCAACGACGATGACGGCGCATTCGCGTAGGTGATGGGTTTTGGAAGGGGTTCGAAATGTGCGCGCGGCAGACGCGCAATAGTGGCTCGCATGGTATTATTGACACGGCTCGTGCCACCCCAGCACGCGCGCAGAGGCGTTCGAACCATTTCGACATGCGCGCGCGCGAAGCCCGTTTGGTAGCTTTTTTTGCACATGTATAAAACAAACTTATGGTTTTCTTAAGAGACCGCAACAGCGCGCGCACGCTTTTGTTGAACATCCGTGTTGAGAACCCCTGTGTATGCGTATGCTTTTTGAACACTCGATTTTGTTCCCCACATCCTGAGTGGGGTTCTTGTTTTCCCAGAGCGTCCTCTCCTCCTCCTCCTCCTCCTCCCGCTTCCTCCACCATCCCATACTGCATCATACCATACCAATACCATGCCACTCCATACCATACCTTACCATACCATACCATGCATCCACCATCCCATACCATACCATGCCTTTCCTCACACCATGTTATTTATCAGGTTTCGTGCCCCTCCCACGCCTCCAGGGAGGCCCCGCCTGAGCGAGCAGGGTATTCGCACACCATGTTATTTATCAGGTTTCGCGCCTCTCCCACCCCTCCAGGGAGGGCCCGCCTGAGCGAGCAGGGTATTCGCACACCATGTTATTTAGAAGGTTTCGTGCCCCTCCCACCTCTCCAGGGAGGCCCAGCCTGAGCGAGCAGGGTATTCGCACACCATGTTATTTATCAGGTTTCGTGCCCCTCCCACCCCTCCAGGGAGGCCCCGCCTGAGCGAGCAGGGTATCGCACACCATGTTATTTATCAGGTTTCGTGCCCCTCCCACCCCTCCAGGGAGGCCCCGCCTGAGCGAGCAGGGTATTCGCACACCATGTTATTTATCAGGTTTCGTGCCCCTCCCACCTCCCCGCCTGAGCGGGAGGGTACACACCATGTTATTTATCAGGTTTCGTGCCCCTCCCACCCTCCAGGGAGGCCCCGCCTGAGCGAGGAGGGTATTCGAACACCATACTATTTATCAGGTTTCGTGCCCCTCCCACCCCTCCAGGGGGCCCCGCCTGAGCGAGCAGGGTATTCGCACACCATGTTATTTATCAGGTTTCGTGCCCCTCCCACCTCTCCAGGGAGGCCCCGCCTGAGCGAGCAGGGTATTCGCACACCATGTTATTTATCAGGTTTCGTGCCCCTCCCACCCCTCCAGGGAGGCCCCGCCTGAGCGAGCAGGGTATTCGCACACCATGATATTTATCAGGTTTCCTGCCCCACCCATCCCTCCAGGGAGGCCCCGCCTGAGCGAGCAGGGTATTCGCACACCATGCTATTTATCAGGTTTCGTGCCCCTCCCACCCCTCCAGGGAGGCCCCACCAGAGCGGGAAGGGTGTTCGCACACCATGTTATTTATCAGGTATCCTGCCCATCCCACCCCTCCAGGGAGGCCCCGCCTGAGCGAGCAGGGTATTCGCACACCATGTTATTTATAAGTTTTCGTGCCTCTCCCACCCCTCCAGGGAGGCCCAGCCTGAGCGGGCAAGGTATTCGCACACCATGTTATTTATCAGGTTTCGTGCCCCTCCCACCCCTCCAGGGAGGCCCCGCCTGAGCGAGCAGGGTATTCGCACACCATGTTATTTATCAGGTTTCGTGCCCCTCCCACCCCTCCAGGGAGGCCCCACCAGAGCGGGCAGGGTATCCGCACACCATGTTATTTATCAGGTTTCGCGCCCCTCCCAACATTCCAGGGAGGCCCCGCCAGAGCGGGCAGGGTATTCGCACACCATATGATTTATCAGGTTTCATGCCCCTCCCACCCCTCCAGGGAGGCCCCACCAGAGCGGGCAGGGCATTCGCACACCATATTATTTATCAGGTTTCGTGCCCCTCCCGCCACTCCAGGGAGGCCCCGCCAGAGCGGGCAGGGTATTCGCACGCCATATTTTATTATTAGGTTTCGTGCCGTTCCCGCCCCTCCAGGGAGGCCCCACCAGAGCGGGCAGGGTATTCGCACACCATGTTATTTATCAGGTGTCGTGCCCCTCCCACCCCTCCAGGGAGGCCCCACCAGAGCGGGCAGGGTATTCGCACACCATATTATTCATCAGGTTTCGTGCCCCTCCCACCCCTCCAGGGAGGCCCCACCAGAGCGCAGACAAGAAGCAATGGAACCCCGTAACATCTTTATGTGGGGAACTCCGTTAGCATGATTTTTTTCCGAAACCGAAGGTTTTTGAGGAATTTCGGCATGCGCGCGCGACGACGCGCGCGTGTGCACTTCGTTTCATTTTTTGCATGAGATTCTCGCGGCGGCACGCGCGCAAAGGTGTTCGAACGATTTCGACATGCGCGCGCGCGAAACCCGTTTGGTAGTATTTTTGGAAAGTGTTGGAAACCTATGGTTTTTCCAAGAGTTCGCAAGAGCGGGCGCACGAATTTGTTGAACATCCTTGTTGCGAAACCTTGAATTCTTTTATGTTTTAGGACTCGATTTTGAAATCTTTCCGGAACCGCAGGTTTTTGAAGGATGTCGGCATGCGCGCGCGACGACGCGCGCGTGTGCACACCGTCGCATTTTTGCAAGGGGTTCTTGAAAGCTTATGGTTTTTAATAAGAGAGTGTGCGCGTATACGAGTTTTTTGCATAGGATGGCGGGGGGGGCGATACCGCTTTGGCTGCGACAGTATGAACTCACAGGTAGGATGGACGTTAGTCTACATCCTATATGGTTCACATCGGTTGCCGGGGGTTGGATAAGCCCGGGGGGGAATTTCATGATTTATTTCTTTCTTATATATATATATATATACATATGTGTCATTTTCTTTAGTTTCTTAATATATATATATATATATATATATATATCCAGTGCACTCTGTGCGGTCCAATTTATGCGAGGTCGCGATGGGGTGGCGACGGTGACGACGGGGCGGTTACGGCGAGCACGGAGCCGCCAGACCATCTGCAAGGCCCAGACGACTGGCGGCGACGAAGTGGCGACGGGGCGGCGACGGCGAGTTCGGAGCCGCCCGAATTGCAGCCAGGCCCAGACGACGGGCGGCAATGAGGCGACGACGGGGCGGCGACGGCGAGCACGGAGCCGCCAGACTGGCAATCAGGCCCAGCTTCGTACAACACAAGTCAGAACTCCTGAGTGCAAGCGCTGTCTGGGGAAGAATACGGTCATGGGGATGAAGAAGATGATGATGGGGATGATGATGGGCACGATGATGATGACGACTATGGTTTTCATGACGATGGCGATGGCGATGATGATGAAGAAGATGATGAGGACGAGGATGGTGATGATCATGATGATGCTGCTCATGTGGCTGATGATAATGATGACGATGATAGGTTTGGTGTTGTTGATCGTAATTTGGGTGATTATGCTTGACGCTGGTGATGATGGTATAGTGATGGTGGTGGGGGTGATGTTGTTGATGGTAGTGGTGATAATGATGGTTCTGATGTTGTTGAGTGTGATGGTTCGGATGGCGACGTCGAAGATGAGGGTGATGAGGATAAGTATGATAATTGTAATGCTGATGGTGGTGCTGGGGATGAGCTTGATGATGCTGATTCTGCTGATGATGATGCTGATGATAAGGGCACTGATGATAATGACGATGATGATTATTCGGATTCTGACTATGATGATGACCCTGCTGGTGGTGATTACGAGGACGGCGACAATGATGACGATGTTAAGGATGCTGAGGATGATGGTGAGGGTGGCGATGGAGATGACGATTATCGATATGACTATGATGATGGACACGATGATGAGGTCCAGGAAGCTCAGGGCGACCGGATGAGAGACAGACAGGGAGAGAGAGAGAGAGGGAGAGACATAGAGAGGTAGAGTTTTTTTTTTTTTTTTCGAGAGAGAGAGAGAGCGAGATATCGAAAGAGAGAGAGAGAGAGACATAAAGGGGATATCTAGATACACATGTATGGGTATATTCATACATATAAACTGATGGGTGTTTGTAGGTGTGTGTGTGTGTGTGAATGTATGTGTATGTCTGCATGCATGCATGCATGTATGTATGTATGCATGTATGTATGTGTGTATGCATGCATGCATGCATGCATGTATGTATGTATGTATGTATGTATGTATGTATGCATGCATGCATGCATGTATGTATGTATGTATGTATGTATGTATGTATGTATGTATGTATGTATGTATGCATGTAGGCATGTAGGCATGTATGCATGTATGCATGTATGCATGTATGCATGTATGCATGCATGTATGCATGTATGCATGCATGCATGCATGCATGTATGTATGTATACATGTATGTATGCATGTGTGTGTATGTATGTATGTATGTATGTATGTACATGTATGCATGCATGCATGCATGCATGTATGTATGCATGCATGCATGTATGTATGTATGTATGTGTGTATGTATGTATGTATGTATGTATGTATGTATGTATGTATGTATGTATGTATGTGTGTCTGTATGTATGCATGCATGTATGTCTGTATGTATGTGTGTGTATACGTGCATGAATATGTATATATATATATATATATACATATATACAAGACTGCAGTGGCGCTTCGCGCCATGCACCTTTGTCCTTGAAGTTTGGCATGCAGGCGGAATGTCAGGAAGGCCAAGCCGACAATTTAGCGATAACTCCTGGTTGCCTTTTCCGGCATCGCCGCTATAATGATGTTATTCGTTGTTATTCCTCCATGCTTATTGTTCCTCATTTTCGCCATACCCTGCGCATTCTCCCCGTCCTCCTCAGCTCTTTTTTGCGGAGGCTCCTCCTTGGAGAGCCTCTAGGGGCCTCACGAAAGTTGTTCCGGGCTTTCTTAAGGCCTTCTGGAGGCCTCCTGGGCGTATTCTGGGGGCCTCTGGGGGCTTCCTCGGGCCACCCTGCCTCCAACCGCCGTCTCCCTGAACGACCGAATCACGATTTGGAGTTTTTCGGAGGGTGTCTTTGGGCCATCTTGGGCCGCCATGGGGCTCTCTGAGGGCCATCTTGGATTCGTGTTGTGCCGTTTTGGGACTCTCTTGGACTGCCTGAAAGCCCTTTCGGATGGTTGTGGGGCGATTTGGGAGCCTCCCAGGCGGCTTCGGACGCCCAGAAGACCGCCGACTTAGAGCGTCGGGAAGCCGAAAAGAGGAGAACCCCAAAATTCACCCAAAAACAATAGAAAATCAATGATTTGTGCCTCGGGGGGCCTTCTTGGGAGTGCTCTTGGAGGCCTCTTTGGGGCCGCCCTGGAGGCTTCTTGGGCCATCTTGAGGTCACGTCGGTCACTCTTGGAGCGCTCTTGTGCTGTCTTGGGGGTCTCTGGGACGTCTCCGATGACCCCCCTGATCGCCTTAAGTGTGCTGGGAAGGCTCGGCAAAACGCCTTGCGAGGCCCGGTGGCCGCCTCGAGGCCCGTCGGGAGGGCCCCAAAGCCCCAGGTCCCGGGAGTGCATAGAGAGACATCTACACACATATACATATATATATATATATATATATATATGTGTATATATATACACATATAGGTATACACATATAGAGAGAGAGAAAGAGAGAGAGAGAGAGAGAGAGAGAGAGAAGACGCAGGCATCCAACACTGGTGTCAGGTGTGCCTATTGTTGTAAGATTTGCAGTGGCGCGGCACGCCCCAGCACACGGCATTCCCAGAGCACGAAGGGCTTCGTCTTCCTGCCGCCAGTGTGCCTGTGGACGGGAGGGGGGAGGGTGCCTTCCCCTCCTCCAGATGTCCCAGGCAGTCCTCAGAGATCACCGGAGGCGTCGGGAGGTCAGAGGCCTAAGAGGGGCGCCATGGCGCAACAAACCTTGATCCTCGAGCCTCGAGCTTCGATTTTCGACGACGACGACGATGGAGGAGAGAGGATGCTGCAGGACCCAGACTGGCTCCTCTTCCGGCGCGGCGACTACGGGTCCCTGCTGCAGCAGAAGCATTGCGCGTGCTCGCAGATGGCGCTGGGCGACCAAATGTATCCCCTCGCGACCCGCTCTGCAAGGAGAGAGTGCCATGAGGGGGACCAGAGTAGATCTGCAAAGGGCTGGATATCCTCAGGGCAGTCTTTCAGACTGTAGTGTTTGTTTTTGTCCTGTCCGCCCGAGGTTTACCGTAGGACAACACCTGTTTCGAATGCAGTATCGGCACATGTGGGTAGAGTGGTGAGGGGGCTTTGTTTGAATTGCAATTGCGTGTTTCATATTCTCATCCTCCTCCGCTTTCGTGCCACGTCAGGCGCTGGACTTCATTCTGAGGCTGATGCACCTTGACCCCTCAAAGCGCATGTCGATCGCGGACGCCCTCGGGCACGCCTGGCTCGCGGACATCTCCTCCACCCTTCTTTGCATCCGCTATGTGCCGTCGCTGCTGCCCCTCTTCCCTCCTCCTTCTCCTCGGAGGAGGAGGAGGATGAGGGAGGAGGAGGAGGCTGAGGAAGAGAAAGAGGAGGAGGCAGAGATGATGATGATGATGATGATGATGATGATGATGATGATGATGATGATGATGATGATGATGATGATGATGATGATGATGATGATGATGATGATGATGATGATGATGATGATGATGATGATGATTATGATGATGATGATGATGATGATGGTGATGATGATGATGATGATGATGATGGCGAGGAGGATGCTGCTACTGCTGCTGCTGATGATGATGAGGATGTTGACAGCGATGATGATTGTGTTGTTGATGATGCTGCTGCTGCTGATGATGATGATGATGATGGCGATGCTGATGATGATGCTGATTATGATGCTGCAGATGCTGCTGATGATGATGGTGATGATGGTGATGATGGTGATGATGGTGATGATGGTGATGATGATGGTGATGATGCTGATGATGATGATGATGATGATAATGATGATGCTGATGATGATGATGATGATGATGATGATGATGATGATGATGATGAGGAGGAGGAGGAGGAGGAGGAGGAGGAGGAGGAGGAGGAGGAGGCGGAGGAGGAGGAGGAGGAGAGCAGGGGAGCAGGAGGAGAGGAGGAGGGGAGGAGAGGAGGAGGAGAAGGCGGATTTAGGAGGAGGAGGGGAAGGAGGAGGAGGAGAAGGAAGGAGGAGGCGGAGGAGGCGGGGAGGCATGAGGAGGAGGAGGAGGTGGAGGATGATGCAGGAGGAGGATGAGGAGGCGGAGAAGGTGGAGGAGCAGGACGAGAAAGGACGATGGACTGGATGATGAAGGAGGTGAGGGGAGGAGACGGGAGGGGGATGGAGAGAGTAGGGATGGAGTGAGGAGGGCAGAGGAGGAGAATGAGGAGGTGGAGGAAGAGGAGGAGGAGCAGCAGCAGCAAGAGAAGGAGCAAGAGGAGGAGGATGAGGAGGAGGAGTAGGATGAAGAGGAGGAGGAGGAGGAGGAGGAGGAGGGATGAGGAGAGGAGGAGGAAGGAGGAGGAGGAGGAAAAGGAGGAGGAGGAGGAGGAGGATGAGGAGGAGGAGGAGGAGGAGGAGGAGGAAAGGGCCGGAGAGGAGGAGAAGATGAGGAAGGATGAGGAGGAGGAGAACGAGGAGACGAGAAGGGAGGGAGGAGGAGGAGGGAGGGGGAGGGGAGTGGAGGGAGGAGGAGGAAAAGGAGGAGGAGGAGGAGGAGGATGAGGGAGGAGGAGGAGAAGGAGGAGGAGGAGGAGGCGGAGGAGCAGGTGGAGGAGGGATCTGATGATGATGATGATGATGATGATGATGATTATGAGAGGATATGATGATGATGATGATGATGATGGATGATGACGAGGAGGAGGAGGAGGCAGGATGAGGAGGAGGAGGAGGAGGAGCAGGAGGAGTAGGAGTAGGAGGAGGTGGAGGCAGACCTGTAGGAGGAGGAGACCAGGAGGAGGAGGGGTAGGAGAGAAGGAGGAGGAGGAAGAGAAGAGGAGAAGGAGGAGGAAGAGGATGATGATGATGATGATTATGATGATGATGATGATGATGATGATGATGAGGATTAGGATGATGATGATGATGATGATGATGATTGATGATGAGATGATGATGATGCTGATGCTGATGATGATGATGATGATGATGATGATGATGATGATGATGATGCTGATGATGATGATGATGATGATGATGATGAGGAGGAGGAGGAGGAGGAG